GACAGCGCAATTATTTTACATTAACACAAAAACGGAGCCTGTGCTTAAAGCTGAGAAACTCAAAAATGCCCATAGTTGCAGAGCTGTTAAAAACATATTAAAATGTGTTTAAAGTGTTCTTCTGTCTTGCTCTCTGATGAGGTGAGGCAGGAGCAGACAGATATTTTTAATTTACGTGTGTATTTTTAATATCCACGTGCAGCAAGGGAAGGAGGTTCTGCACAGTGCACAACTCCTTCAGTTAGCTTTGTGGATTTGTCCAGCAGAAATGGACATTTCTGTGCTGGGAAGGTAAGCAAACATCCCTGCAGTGACTCCAGGCCTGGTGTATGGTGCCAGAAAAGGGCAGCCTGTAGGGACACCCCCTTACTGATCATGGTGGTGCCTCCTGCCAGCGCTGCCTTGGTGCCCTGGAAGAAGCCGTCGGCCGAGCTCATGCCCAGGACGGGCGCCTGCAGCCGCGTGTGGACGTCGATGCCCCCCGGCATCACCAGCTGCCCGTGGGCATCGATGATCCTGGTGCCACGGGGAATGACCAGGTGCTCTCCAATTTGTCTGCAAAGGAAAGCAAGATCTCCTCTTAGCTGGCAACAACTCTGAAGTGAGGGTGCCAAAACAACCTCTGTTACTCCTCCCCAGGCTGCCAGTGCTTTGCAAGTCTTTCCACCTGCAGAACTACTCCAGCGTAGCTCTTTCCTGACACTGCTCTAAAATGCTGCCTTTATTTAGCCAAAAGATTCTCAAGAAAAAATGATGGGAAGGAACCTTGTTCAAATCCCAAGGCACTGTATCATTCTAAGAAATTACATAAGCAAATATAAATTTTTAACTTACTTTATTAAGCCATCCTCCACATAAACATCTGCATAAAATGACTGATCATCGTTGACAATTTTTCCTCCTTTGATTAGAATGTGGTCACTCTAATGGGAAAAAAATCCACAGTTTTTAAACATTTTTTTTTGTTTGGATTCCACTTCACTCATTCCAAGCTTTAAATAAATCTAGGTTTAGTATTTTCCCTCCAGTTCAATGTCTATCCAGACTATTCTACAACTACATTTGCAAGGGGAGCCATATGAAATTTCATTCGGAGGAGCCCAGCTCTCTGTAGGGTGGCATCACCGAGCCTGGCAGCCCTGGGCACCGCCAGCTCCAAGGGCTGAGCCGCGCTCCTGCCTCAGCTCCGGCCACCAGGCTTCTCAGTGCATCTCATTAACCTGGTAATTTATTGCCATTCATTCGTTTTCACAGTCGCGGCAGAGGCAGATAAAGCCTCGAGGACTTGCCTCACTTCAAAGCCAGACACTGGCACAGTTTTCAGATTTGCAGAATCTTCACCCAGAATCTTTAACTAGAAAATTTAGGAAGCAGCAGCACTGATGTCTATGCGGAGCTGCAGCCTAATTTCAGAGGATTCCTTCCCTGCTCTCTGGTGTCGCTTGAAAAATGATTTGCAGTGCTGAAATGGGCAGCACAAAGAGCACGGCCTGGGCACAAAACCAGCCGAGGGACGCCTGAGCACGTGGCGGCACAGCCTGGAGATGCTGCACCACAAAGAGCGGCTCCGGAGGCAAAACTGCCTAGAAACACTTTGGGGCTTCTTTAAAAGAGCATCGCTGCTATAGGAAAGGAAAACTAAAGAATTGAATTTCTTTTTTTTTTTTTTTTTTTAACTGTCAGTGATTTATTGTCTTTATTGTTTCCCCTTGTCCCATAACATCAATCAATAGAAGCCTCAGTGTTGTTGCCCCATGGGAGAGCCTGACAGCCCCTCCCCTTGTGGGGCCCATCTTCACCCCATCCCCATCCTCACCCTCATCCTCACCCCGTGCCCACCCGGCGGCAGCGCCCCACTCCCGGGACCCGCTCCCGCAGCCCCGGAACGCGGCTGGTCCCCGGCTCCCGCACCCACCGGGCTTTCCCCACGGCAGTTCTGCCACGGGCCAGCAAGAGGAGAAAAAACAAAACACAAGGCATCGCATTCCAGGGATTTGTCCCGGCTCCTGCCGGGAAGCGCCGGGAGGAGGGAATCCCCTCCCACGCAGCGCCGGGGGCCGGGGGAGCAGCGGGGGCACCGGGAGCGCGGGGGCACCCCGGGCTGGGGCGGGGAGCAGAACCCGGCTGCGAGATGCTCTCAGTCTGCCGAGCCCATCCCGCCACAAAAGCGTGCCCGGAGCTCATCTCCGGCCCCGGCGGCACCGGGAACCGGGGGCACGGCGGGGCAGCCCGCCCGCCTTTGTCCCCCCGGGGCGGCCCCGGGACAAAGCGCCGGGACCGCCGGGCTCCGGTCGGACCGCGCAACAAAGGAGCGGAGCGGGGCAGGGGGCTCGGCCCCGCGGCCACCGGCACCGCCGGCACCGGCACCGCCGGTAACGGCACTGCCTGTAACGGCACCGCCGGTAACGGTACTGCCGGCACCGGCACCGCCGGTAATGGCACCGCCGGCACCGGCACCGCCGGGCGCTCACCCCGGGGCGGGCAGGAGCCCGCGGCGCTCCCCGGCTGTGCGAGACCGCCCGCCCCGCTCCATCTCCGGCGCCGGAGCGACCCCCGGCCCGAGCCCGGCTCGCAGCCGCGGGGTCCCGCAGCCCTCGCCCCGCGGGGACCCCTCACCTTGCCGCGGGTCCCGCTCCTCCTGCCCGGCTGCGACATCGCCGCCGCCTCCGCCGCCCGCCCGTGTGCGGGACCGCCGCGCGCCCCCGCGCCCGCCGCCGCGCGCCCCCGCCTGCGTGCGCGCCCCAGCGCGGCCCGCCGCGTGCCCGGCCGGACAGAGACGGACCCGAGGGGCCGGGGGGACCGGGAGGGACCGGGGGGACCGGGGGGGACCGGGACCGGCCGGAGGGGCCGGGCAGGACCGCTCGGCGCCCTCGCACCGTGCCCTGCCCAAAGCCGCGCCGCAGGGACGGACCCAGCGCCCGCTCCCGGCGCCGGCTCCGCGGGACGGGATGGGGCGGGACGGGACGGGACGGGATGGAACGGGACGGGACGGGACGGGATGGAACGGGACGAGACGGGACGGGACAGGGCGGGATGGGACGGGACGGGAAGGAACAGGATGGAAAGGGACGGGACGGGATGGAACGGAACGGGGCGGGACGGGATGGAACGGGACGGGAGGGGATGGGACGGGACGGGAGGGGATGGGACGGGATGGGAGGGGATGGGACAGGCCGGCAGGAGGACGGCCGGAGGGGTCCCCGCTCGCCCTCGCGGCGGCCCCGGCCCCTGTCCCGGCGCAGCCCCGTTACCTGCCGGCAGCCGTCGGGCAGCGCAGCCGGAGCGCTCGGGGGCAGCGCGGCCGCGGTGGGGCCGGGGCCGGGATCGGGGTCGGGGCTCGGTCCCGCTTCGGGGCTCGGTCCCGGCTCGTTGTCGCGGCGGTGTCCCCCGACGGGTGTTGCTGTTCCGGAGGCGGCGAGCGAGGCGAAGTTGAGCGTCTTGTTGTCGAAGGCGTCCTCCACGCTGCAGAACATGCCGCCGCGCTTCTGCCGCGGCCGCGGGCTGCCCGCGCCCAGCCCCGCGAAGCAGGCGGGCAGAGCCCCCTCCTGCCGCCCCGCCATGGGCCCGCACCCGCTGCCGCTGCGCTCCCGCAGCCCTCCCCCGCGAGGAGAGCCCAGCGCCGCGTTAAAAGCCGCCCGAGGACCCCCGCCCCTCCCGGTGCCCATCCGCCCGTGCCCGTCCCCACGTACGACCGGGAGGTGACATCTCCCAGCGTCTGCGATGGCAGAGACAGCGCGGGGTTGGCTGCGGCGGCGATCGGGTGAACGCCCCACTCCCGAGCCCTCCCGGGCATCTCCCGGGCCCCAGGGTGGCCGGTGTCACAGCCCAGCTTCCCCATCCCCTCAAACCCAAACCAGTTCATCGCATTTGAAGGTTTAAAACAGATCTTTTTAATTAAAATTGACAATCATTTATGTATTTTACAAAGGAATAGAAAGTCTCTCAATATATATCATAGGAATCACAATACAAAAATATCTGTAAAATTCTCTAGTCGATCGCTCCCGCCCGTTTTCGGGCTGGTGGTTGCTGTCACAGCACTGAACCCAACGTTCTGTATTTTGGATATGATTCTGGAGTAGGATTAGAGGACACGGGTCATGGCACGCCAGCCAGTGGACCTAAAACCTCCATTTTCTTTGTTACATTTTGCATAAGTTTACAATAGTCCCTTTTTATAAACTGTACAGCACATGATACAGGGTTTAATACACATATTCACACGGCGATTTCCTGAGTCGAAGCTAAATCTCCTCCTGTGCACGCTGCCGGCGAGGGGCACAGGGGTGCGAAGGAGCCGGACTCGGTGCAGGGGCGTTTTCAGCTCCTGGTCAGGAATTCTGTCCACAAGCCATGTAAGGCACTCAAGGAATCACTGAAGGCTACAGCTATAGAGCAGAACACTGGAAATAACAGCCACATCCTCCCCCAGCTGGGACGAGAAGCCCACGCCTGTCGCACCCACGGCGGCGGGTTTGGGGTGAGGGGTGGCACCCCCCGCTCCGGCTGCTGCCCCTGGCCGGGGCACGGCCCCACCGCGGGCCCGGGGCTTGGGGACGGTGTTTGGAAGGGCTGAACAGGGCCAGGGTGAGGAGGGAGCAGCCGGGTCCCGACACGGCCCAGCCCTGCCCCGGGCCAGGGACAAACTCCTCACAGAGCCCAGCCTGGCCTGGGCTACCAAAAAACTCCTCACAGAGCCCAGCCTGGCCAGGGCCAGGAACAAACTCCTCACAGAGCCAGCCCTGCTCTGGGCTACCAACAAACTCCTCACACAGAGCCCAGCCTGGCCCGGGCTACCAAAAAACTCCTTACACAGAGCTCAGCCTGGCCAGGGCTACCAAAAAACTCCCCACAGAGCCTGGTGGGACGCGGGCAGGAGTGGAACGAATGGGATCCCTTCCCGGAGAGGGAGGCAGCACATGGGTTGCAATCTCCTGTCTGTGCATTTAAACGGAGGACACAGTTCTGAAAACATTCTTTGAGCCCATTTTTTTCTTTCATATGTACAAAACTTCATATATATTTATAGTGACATATAGGTAAGCAGAATCCCTTATTTACACACGGACCTGTCCTGTACAAGTGGCTTTGTACTTAAAAGCCCCAGGATCAAGGACGTTGATCAGAGAACTGAACCGGTGTTTGAGACACACGAACACACCAGGCAAGAGCACGTCCTGAATGCAGAGCCATGAGATGGACTCGAGCCACTTCCTAACGTGCCCTTTGTCACCTCAACCACCACTGCAGGGCTTCCAGGGAATACAGCATTTTAAGACATGAAGTGTTTCAGTAGAACTCAAAATGAACCCGGTTTTAGGCAGAAGCAAAAATGCAGCTCATCCCAGAATCCCAGCACTGGTATTGGTAGAATCAGAGCTTGTTAAATCAATTCCACGATAGAATCCCACGCTGATAACAAAATCCACAACCTTGGCCTTAAAACATCGCATCCCTTTGGTTCAAATACCGCAGCACTTCTCTGACCAGCTCCCTTCCTCCTGTTCCTGCAGCTGAGCTCCCTGCGCTGGGTTAAAACGTGGTCGATGTACAAGTGCAGGAAGAGGTTGAAGAATTTCAGTATCAAAGGGTTTTCTCCATAGCTTTATAAACTTCAGAGGCACAGGTACCTACAGGATAAAATAAACACAAGGTTTAACCACAGCTGTGGCCCTCTCCTGCGCATGGGATTTTTAATCCCAAAATCTACATTTCCATTCCATAGGTTGTGCTGGGTTGTGTTAAGCAGCTCTCAATTAAGTCTAATTTGGAGTAGGCTTTGCCAGTTGCTGTTTTTTTCCCTGAAAAAAAGAGACAATTTATAAAATATTTAAAGTACTGTTTTCTCCAGGCTGTGCCACACATCAAATAATTCATTTTCCTTAAGCACTACTCCCCTAACAGTTTTGGGTTACACTCAGAATATGGTGATGATCGTGATGAATGATGAATTTAAAATTTGCCTCATCTGACAAACTCTGAGAGGACGAGTTAATAACCACAAAGCCAAATTCCACCTCCCCAGGGGAGGAGAGGCAGCACAAAGGACGTGGTGCCCGTAGGTGGGAGGGGGCTGCTGCAGCTGCCCTGACCCTTCCGTGCCCCCTCTTTGGCGCTGTGTCCTGTTCCCATTTCACACCCAGCCCCGAGAGTAGTGCCAGCTGGACATGGATACCTCGAAAACACATGTGGGAAGCAGAACAGCCCAGCCAATGGCTAGAAAGGAGAGAATCCCCCATTCCCTGTCCCTTCTCCATCCCCCATTCCCTGTCCCTTCTCCATCCCCCATTCCCTGTCTCTTCTCCATCCCCCATTCCCTGTCCCTTCTCCATCCCCCATTCCCAGCTCAGGGACAGGTCAGGGACAGCTCAGCAGGGGCAGTTCAGTGGGATCAGTTCAGCAGGGACAGTTCAGGGACAAGTCAGGGATGGTTCAGGGACAGTTCAGGGACAGTTCAGGGACGGTTCAGTAGGATCAGTTCAGCAGGGACAGCTCAGGGACAGTTCAGGGATGGTTCAGGGACAGGTCAGGGACAGTTCAGGGACAGTTCAGGGACAGTTCAGTGGGATCAGTTCAGCAGGGACAGTTCAGGGATGGTTCAGGGACAGCTCAGGGACAGCTCAGGGACAGCTCAGAGGGATCAGCTCAGCTGGACAGGCGCAGCTGAGGCAGGAAAGGGGGCTGACACCTCGGCCTCCCTGCACCTGCTCCGGGAAAGGCACCGGGGGGACCCAGGCCTGATGACCCCGCAGGAGCGTGGGGCTCTGGGTGACAACTGCTGCATGCCCTGGCACATCCTGCTGGCACATCCTGCTGGCACATCCTGCTGGCACATCCTTGGGCAGCAGTTTGTGCGGGAGCAAAGTGCCCCGGGGCTGCTCTCTGCGGGAAAAGCCATGGACAGAACAGCTCTGCCCGCCTGCCTCTGCCCATCTGCAGGAGGCCTCTGCAGCCTTAGTGACTCGGACACGTTCTCCTTTCCCAGGGAGCTCTCTCTGGGATTTCTGCTGCCCTGGAAGCGCAGACATATCACTGGGCACCCCAACGCCTCCGTGACAGGCTATTTGCACAAACATCATCTACAAACAGAATGCATTCTGTTAAAAAAGCTGACTTTATGCTAGATTTTCCAGATGAATAGTTCTTCAGGCTAACGATGAGTTTGGTAAACTACAAAAACGTGTGCCCTTATTATTATTATTTGCAAGAGCTCAGCAAGACCCAGATGAAGGGGGAGAGCCCTTCAGCTGTGATGACAATTGAAGCTGCTCTGCCCAGGAGTGCTTTGGGGAATGAAAGCTGAAATGAATGATTATCTTTAAAACCAGCTTGGTGAAGCAGGCTTTTACCCTGCCAGTCTGTACAGTTAGGAGTTTTCTTTCTGAGAGCAAGCTGAGGAGGGAAGGCACTGGGGTTTTGAGGGGGAAGCACCCAGGACACCAAATTGCTCCTGCTGCACAAATTCACACTCCAAAAAAGCTCTTCTCTACTTCCCACAGAAAGAGGAACACCCATGTAAATGATTCAAGGGAAGACTGGATGGGGCTTGGAGCAAGCTGGGATAGTGGGAGGTGTCCTTGCCCATTCAGAGATGACCTTACAAGTGCCTCCCATTCCAAACCATTCTGGGGTTCTGTGCTGTGTGTGACCCCCTGCAGCCACGCAGGAGTGGGAGGTTTTAGTTCTAGAGAGGATAAATGCAAGGCTGGTGCCATGTCCTGCCCTCGGAACGTGCCCAGGAAGCAGAACCCAAAGTTCCTGCTGTAATAAAGCAGATGTTCTGCTTAGAAGGAAAGTCCCAGCTGGTCTGTGTTGAAGTGTTTTCCCATGGGATTTGGCAGAACCATGGAGGAGCAGCCTCTGCAGAGCAGAGATGTCTGGGATGAGCAGTGGATGAGGAGCTCCCAGCCATGCCCAGACCTCCTTCAGCACCAGCCACGCTCTCCTGCCCCAGGGCCTCCATCTCCCCCGCCTCAGCCACAAATTCAGACTGACATTGTCATTTCTGTGCATTTCAGTCTGCAGCAGCCCCCGAGACAGCGGAGCAGAAACGCCGTGCCAGGAGACACCCCTGCTTTTATACAAATTGACAGTTATTAACCACTGGAAATCTCCTCTTCATTGCTGAGCAGTCCTGCCCTCCACGAGAGAGAAACCCACGAGGTTCACAGCACACAAAGGAATAAAAGTTTCTGAGTCAGTGCCTCCGTGCCTTCCCAGGAAGGCCTTTGCTCAATGGGGTCTCCTCGGCAGCCGGAATTTCCAGCATTTGTTATTATATCACACTGAAATTTAACACCTACATTATTAGCAATAATTAAATAATGTTTACATAAAGACTCTGGTCATTTCAACACCAAATTCAGTATTTCTTCTGTTATCACCTGGAGTATTTTAACCTAAGTGAGAGAAATTAGCAGGGGAGGGAGTTCCAGAGTCTACAGAATCCCAGGATAAAGGGGTTTCCAGGTGGTCAGCCCATCTTACCTGCCCAGAGCTCTGATCCCTTCCTGCCCGTGCTTCCAGGGAATGGGCACCATGGGACCCTGGCTGCCAGCAGGACCTCGCTCCTGGCCTTGCTCCTGGCCTTGGTCCTCATCCCTGGTCTTGCTTCTCAGTCCTGGCCTTGGTCCTGGCTTTGTTCTTCATCCCTGGCCTTGGTCCTGGCCTTGGTCCTCATCCCTGGCCTTGGTCCCGACCTTGGTCCTCATTCCTGGTCTTGTTCCTCATGCCTGGCTTTGCCTCTCAGCCCTGCATTTCTGTGCTTGGCTGTGGATCCAACGTGGTCAGTCACACTCTGGAATTTCTTCTGGATTTCCCCCTCTTCACCCATTTTTCTGGAGGATTCTTTTCCCTCTCAGCTCCTGTGCCACCTCCTGGGCTCGGCTCTGTGGGACTTGTGCTCCCTTTCCCCGAGGCGAGGGCATCTTCCAGGGCACACCTTCTGTTCCCTCTTGCTGCTCTCCCAGCCCAGGGCATGTGGATCAGGGATAATCTGGTTTACTTCACCCTTTTCCAGGTTGAACGTTTTGCTGGGACAGTGTTAAGCCTTTTGTCATTGTTCAGGGACAGACAATTATAAATTATTGCATAATTTTTCTTATCATGGTATACCGAAAACTCAAAATAAAAGAATTGCAGCTTGATTTCCTGAATGTAGCTTTATGTTTTTCCTAAAACCGGGCTTGTGGGATATTCAACAAACACAGGACATAGCCTGTGCAACGAAGAAATACCTTGGAACAAACCACTTCATTTTCACTCACATCCATCTTTTCACGAGCTACTCCTCTGGAACGCTTCCTAAAATCTTCTTTGGAGACAGAATTTGCAGAACTGTGGAACGAGCACGACTGTGTGGCAGACAACAGGACACGGGCACTTCTAGAGAAGGGATTTGCCAACTGCTGGGCAGGGAACCAGGATCAATTCCGTGTCTGGATCGGTGAGGGGCTGCAGCAGGGCAGGAGCAGCTTCTGCCTTCTGTGTCACTCAGCTCTGTCCTGTCCAAAGGCTCTCGGGGCTCAGCAGGGCAGGAGCAGCTTCTGCCTTCTGTGTCACTCAGTTCTGACCCCTCCAAAGGCTCCTCGGGGCTCAGCAGGGCAGGAGCAGAGCTTTTCTCCCTCTGTCACTCAGTTCTGACCCCTCCAAAGGCTCCTGGGGGCTCAGCAGGGCAGGAGCAGCTTCTGCCTTCTGTGTCACTCAGTTCTGTCCCCTCCAAAGGCTCCTCGGGGCTCTCGGGACCCGCTCCCAGCCCGGCTCAGCCCCGCTGGCAGTGCCCCAGCCTGCCCCTGCCATGGCCAGCAGCAGGGACCCAGGCAGACCCGGGGCTGGGGAGTGCCAAGTCTCTGCCAGGGGCTCGGGGAGCAGGACTGTCCCTCCGGCAAGGACAGCAGGAGCAGCTGCAGTGGCCTCAGGGGGCTGAAACAGGAGAGGAGAACAGCAATCAAAGCAGAGCCCACCTGGGCAAGAAGAACGTTCACAAAACTTCTGTGAGGTCCTGATTATAATGATCTGCTGAACTGTACAACTGATAAAAAAGGATTTGTGATAGATTCCATTTATCTTGTTAGTGGGGAGTGTTTCCCTCCATGCCATGCCTGCTGTGGTCATTTCTGGCAGCACACACAGAAATAGGGAAATTTATCCCCTACTTGCATGGGAAAGGGGATTCAGGGAGTCCCTGGGCACAGTGCCTGGAGGAACAGACCCCCAAAAATGCCATGTTGCCCCAAACCCACTGGCTGCTGTCCTGGAGGCAGGACAGGCTCTCTGGCTGGGCAGGGAGAGGGGCTGAGGGTTTCCATGAACTTCAGCACAGATCAGCTGGAGCTGCCCCGGATGCAGCCAGAGGAGTCACCCCAGGCTGGGGCTTCTCCCTGGCTTGCCAGAGGTTTCCTTGCTTTTAAGCCTGCTTAATTTTCCCTTGTCCTTCCCTCTAAAGAAGGAAATTCTGTTTGACAAGTTTTTGCCTGCTGTTTTTTTACAGGATTTGGAGATTTCCATTTTTGGGTTCTCTGGCATGCTCAAGAGACCCTTCAGTCCTGCTGACACAGCAAAAGGAAGGCTCTTTTCTCTATGGAAAACAGAGATGCTCCAGGAGGAGAAGAGGAGAGAGCAGAGGAGACCCGAGGGCTTACCTTGTGCATGTGGCCTGAAGGACTATGACCAAAGAATGAAAGCTAAAGAGAAAAATAAAAACAAAAATAAAAACTGAAAAGGGGAGAGAAGAGAGGAAAAAACGGAAGAGAAGAAAGAGATTAAGAGTTTACAGTGTGTTTAACTGAGAAACAAGCAGTGGTTACAGACAGAGCACAACAAAACTCTGACGTGAGCAGGAATATGGAGTGTGGAGTGAAGTGTGGGTGTTCAGGGCTCAGCTTGGCTCACGAGAGCGCCCGTGTCCCTCGGGCTGGTGGCAGTGGCCCCTGCCCCTCCGAGCCCAGCCAGGCACAGCCACGGGCCCGGAGATGGGGGAGCATCAGCTGAGCTCCTCTGGCACCTGCAGCAGCCCGACCTGCCGAGCTCGGAGCTCACCTCGGGTGCTGGCCCCGCTGTGCCCGGGCCTGGCCAGCCCTGGAGGCTCAGTGGACAGGGGAGGGCTCGGCTGAGGCCGTTCTGGGGTAGCACACAGCACTTTTGGGTGGCTGCAGAACGCTATGTGACACGAGCCGTGGGCAGGCGAGGGAGGAGGGCAAAGCCCCTTGCTCCTGCTGGGAAAGGCTGCTCCTTTCCAGCCTTTCCAGGGGCTGGGACGGGAGGGAAGCAGGGAGAGCAGCCCCTTCCCAGAGCTCTGCTGTCTGATCCCTCAGCTCTGCCCCGTCCCGGGCCGTGGCCCCGGCCCTGCCCAGTCTCAGGCTGCCCCGAAGGGCAGAGGGGAGGAAGGACTCGGCTCAGGCAGCTCATCCCCTCCTCAGAGGGACAGGGGCAAATGCAGGCTGTGTTCCTGGAGCTGTCCCCCTCTCTCACAGCACTACACACACCAGCTCTCTCCAAGGAGGTTTCCTTGGCCCAGGTGAAATGGAGAATGGTCATGTGCACACACAGCAGCTGTCCCATCTGCATGACCTTACCTTTTCCTCTAACTCTTTTATTTGTCTTTTTTGGCCTTCAATTCTTTCTTCTAGCTCTTTAATTCTCTGTCAGATTTCAAATAAAAAAATATTTATTAACCAACCAAATACAGATGTACCCAGAAGATGCATTAGTTTGGGGGATAGAAATTGTATGTGCTGTGCTTCTACCACAACTGAATTGGGTGTTAGGCTGCAGGCGAGTGCTCTGTGATTGTCACCGTGTGTGACAGTGCCAGGGACAGCACGGTGCCCTGTGTGCAGGGCTATCCAAGGCCTGGCCAGCTCGGGACAGCTCCCAGGGCCGCCCCTCATCCCTCCCCAGGGCCCTGCCCCACACCCACCTGCTGGGCGTGCTGGATGAGCTCCATCCTTTCCCGCAGGATTTGGGCGTCCCTCTCCCGGAGCTCGCTCATCACCTGCCGCTTCCACTGCTCCACGGCGCTCTTCAGCTTCTCCTTCTCCTCTTCTGAAAGAAGTTCGGAAATTTTGGCTCCAGCTTCTTGCTGCAGGGCATCATAGAGCATGGCTTCTAATTCCAGAATTTGCTAATCAAAAACAATATAAAGCTGTCAGCTGGACCTTGTCCCCGGTGGGGTGAGGAGGTTGTGAGGAACGGAACATCCGACCCTGAAAGGCAACGGGAGCGGTGGAGGGGCTGTGTGCTGAGCCTCCCCCGAGGAAATCTCATCCAGGGGGAAATGCTCCAGGCTGCTCCATCCTGAGGGGCTGCCAGCAGCACTGGAGCTGGGACAGCCCCTGCCCAGCCCGGGCTGCCCCACAAACACGTGGGGCCAGCTGCTCCTTCCTGGGGATGGGAGATGGCTGTGGGGAGAGGAAGAGAGGGGAAAATGTAAAGGAAGGGGGAAAGGGAGAAGGGAAAATGTAAACAGGAAAAGGGCAAAAGGAAAGAGGTTCATAACAGACTCATTTGGTGAGTTACAGATATTTTTTACGTGTGTTTTCAGTCCCTCGGTTCCCCTTTCCCAGCTCTCTGCTCCCAGCAGAGGACACGGCAGCACCAGCCCATGCTCCTGCCAGAAGGAACAGCTCCCTGTCGGGTGTGTGCAGCATTTTGTGCCAGCCAGTGGAAAATGCCTCATGGGAAGGCATTGCCAGCCCTTCCTTGGCAGAGCTGTCAGCTCCAGCAGGGTTTGTGCCCAAGGAAAGGACCTGTCCTGCAGCTGGGCTCTGCCCCTGCCCCTCCCAGGCAGACAGACGTACTCTGCAGGCACTGGGCTGGAGAAGGGCAGGAGAGGGGCTGGCCACGCTTCCCTGGGGCACTGAGGCTTTGGGGCACTGCTGCTGGCAGTCAGGCTCTGCTGCCCTGGAATCAGCACAAAGGCTGCTCCCCCAGGCAAGCCAAGAGCGAGCTGGAAGCTATTCCAGCAGGTTCGATCGGAGCAGGAGAAGAGGCAGCAGCTGGTGGCACCTCTGCACACCCCTCCAGAGCTGGTGGCACCTTGAAGAGCATCCATGGCCTCAGGAGAATCCCACTGCAACAGAACCATGGAATTGTTGAGGCTGGAAAAGTGCTCAAAGTCCCCCAGTGCAACTGTCCCCCAGCACTGCCAAGGCCACCATGTCCCCACATCCACAGGGCGTTCAAATCCCTGCTGGGTCTGTGGTGATAATTCAGCTCTGTTCAAAATCACGTTTTCCAGCTGAGCTGCTGCTGGTGTTGGATTTGAGTTGGATTGTGCTCCCAGCACAGCAGTGGCACCATTACAGGGGCTGTGGCACGGCTGGAAACGGCTGGAATCGGCTGATAACTGCTGAAAATGGCTGGAAACGGCTGGAAATGGCTGGAAATGTCTGGAAACGGCTGGAAGTGGCTGGAAACCAGGCATCTCCATGGGGAAGAACACCTCAGATCTCAGGAGAAGATTCTGCTTTTCCTTTTCCAACAACACCAACCCTTGCTAAGCTCATCCCAGTGAAATGCTGCTGTTGGATACCAGGATCTGTGCTGGCCCCAGCCCCACAAAGCCCCAGCCCTGCGTGGAGGTGCTGACCTGGCAGAGAGGGGCAGGGGGACCCCCTGGCCCCCTGAGCAGAGCAGGGTCAGCCAAGCACTCCCTGGAGCAGAGCCTGCAGCAGCCAGGCTTGGAGGGTTTGCCTGCTAATCCTGCTGGCTCTGCTTCAGGGGATCGTGATCAGCTGCTCCTCATCTCGGGGGGCACAAAGGAAACATGGAAGTGAAGAGAATTTTGTAAAGCAAAAGAGATTTTCCACTCAAATTCCAGGGCAGAACAAAGCTTCCTTTGCTGCTCTCAGGCTGCATTTGTGCCCTGGATCAAAGCTGAGCCGAGGACACACGTGTGCTGCCTTCAGAAAATCCAGGAAAATGCAAATAACCCTCAGCCCCCTCTGCATGGACTGCACCCTCCTTGCACTCACTGCTTCCCATCAGCTGCACAGACTGCTCAGGACAGAAGATGAGGAACCACGGAGTCCCAGACTGAGGCCTTAAAGAGCAAATTGTTCCATCCCCTGCCATGGGGATAAATACCACTGCAAGGTGTTCTAGGGCTGGGAGCACAGCTGAGGGGGCTCCTGTGCTTTCCGAGGTTTCCACTGTGCATTGCCTCCAGATACAGCTCCGAATGTGGCAAAATTAGTCCTAAAAATCACCCAGAGGACAGAAAATGTATGGAGCAAAAGCTCCCCCAAATGGTTCAAGACACAAAGAGCCAACAGGAGGCAGAAACAGAGGCATAAACATGTCCTGACCTTCAGAAAGTGTAACTGTGCTCTAGGTTTATGTACAACTGGAAAAATGAGATAAACTGAGAGGAAACTTCATGCCTTTTGTGGATATGTATAGAACATTTCTCTCACTGATAGAAACAAGACAGGTGATGACTGAAAAGATGGGTGAAATGCCTCAGGATCAGCTAATGACGGACCTGACATAAAAGCAGTTTAATTTCAAATTTACACATCCCAGAATACCTCCAGCTGCTCTGGGTACAGAGGGTGCAATCCAAAATCCAAGGAAACGTGTGGGGTAAAATATATTTTTTTAAAACTTAAGACAAATTGCTGTAAAACCCAATTTCCTTATCAGTCTTTTACTGAAGCTTTGGCTGAATTAAAGCTGGTGTTGAGTAGGTTAATGTTCAGGTGCTAACCACTCAAACCCAGGAATTCTGGGCAGGAGGAAGCCCTGGTTAGCCCAGGGTGCAGAGGATTTCTGAACTCTGATCCTGTGCAGCCCTCGGGCACTCCACAGCAGCACTGCCCGAGGGCAGCTTGCCCAGGGGCAGAGCAGTGGGCAGTGAGCTGGCCCAGTGTCCCAATCTGCCACCTCTGACAACCCTCACCTTGTGAGCCTGGTCCAGGGACTGCTTCCTGAAGTCCAGCTCATCGTCCAGGTAGCCCTTCTGCTTGCTGAACAGCTCCTGGGGAGCAAGGCAGGCTGTCAGAGAGCAGCACGGCCCCCGCCACGTCCCCCCGGCCCTCCCGGTACCTTCTCGTTCTCCAGGTCCAGCATCTTCTGCTGCAGCGCAGACTCGGTCACCTCGATCTGCTGGAGCCACTGGGGAGCAGAGCAGAGCAGAGGCACTGAGCAGGGCCTGGGAGCAGGGCTTGTGCCAGCAGGCAGGTTCTGCTCAGAGAGCAGAGCGCATCGGCTGCAGCGCTGCATTCCCTGCAGAGCGCATCAGCTGCAGCGCTGCTTTCCCTGCAGAGCCGCATTTCACCCTGGCCCTGCCCTTGAGCTCAGCCACACCTTGAGCCCAGCTCTGGCTGCACTGCTGGCTGCACAAAGCCTCTGTGTGGGGCTGCAGCTCCCTCTGAGCTCTGCCCAGAGGGCTGGGCGCTGTCAGACGCCGGGAGCAGGCGTGCTGCCCTGCTGCCACCCGCCCAGCCCGTGGGCCTCACCTTCTCGGCCAGCGTCAGCACGGTCCTGGCCTGGATGATGACCACCTGCTCCTCGTTGGTCAGATTCTGCACCAAAACAGAGCACAATTACAACAAACCCCAGCGTCTCCCTACTAACCCACTACTCGGGCCACTGCTGTTTCAAACACGGCTGCAATTAAATATGGCTGAGGAACAATAAACTGAGGCAGAGAAAATTAATATTGCAATGCTAAATCATTGTGAAAGGCATTGTCACTATTCATTACCAGTCCTTGTCATACACAATTCTTCCAAAATTCTCATATTTACTGACAAGAAAAGGGACGCTGGATCTATTTGTACCCAACAGGGATAAACACACGTTGATGCAGGACAAGATCAAGCTCAGCACAAAGAGCCCTGGGGAGAAGAGATGAAGTGCTCACCCCATGCACCATCCTCACTTTGTGCAGCCAAGGGATGATTTTGGGAAGCATTTATGGAGATGTTGGTTGTTCCATCATCTTCTGTTGCTTTCTCAAAAAAATCAAAGTACTGGAGCTGGGCTTTGCATTCCATCCCAAGGTTCAGTGTGCCCACAGGGTCACAGGAGAAGGGCCTGGGCCTCGCTGGGGTGGGACCTGAGTCAGGGTCAGGCAGGGGCTGAGCAGGGGGACCATGGAGAGCTTCAGCCTCAGGCACTGCTGGGACATGGCAGTGCCATCCTGCAGGGATTGAATCAGGGAATCCTGGCATGCTCTGGGTGGGAAGGGACCCCAAATCCCACCCAGTGCCCCCCTGCTATGGCAGGGACACCTCCCACTGTCCCAGGCTGCTCCAGCCCCAGTGTCCAGCCTGGCCTTGGGCACTGCCAGGGATCCAGGGGCAGCCCCAGCTGCTCTGGGCACCTGTGCCAGGGCTGCCCACCCCTCAGGTGTTTATAGTTCTGGTTGTGCCATGGTTCTGGGGTGGCATTTGGCTGCTGTCCAACCTGTCCAGAGGGAGAGCAGGGGCAGCCCAGGTGTGAGAACAGTGGGGACCCTTCTGCAGCCCCATGCTGGGGTGGGCTCTGCCAGGAGGGTTCTGTGAGACCCCAGGCTGGAGAGGGGCTCTGCTCTCCTCGGCCCCTCACAGCCCTGGGGCTCTGCTGATGGAGGAGAGCACATGGGGAGACCCGCAGGACGTGTGCCTTCCATGTGCATAGCCATGTGCAGTTATCCACTGTCACCTGCTGAAGAAGCACTCACAAATTTCTTGTTTGCTTCTCCTTTTCACAGCGCTGTTTTCACTTGTTTAATATCCTGGTTAGTATCGAGGGTTAATGGGTTATTAGGCAAACTCAAAGCACACAGCTGCTGAAATGCAAAAGCAAAGCAAATGCAGAGCAAGCAAATCAAGAAACTGCGTGTGACCAGTGGCCAGAAAGCCCCAAACAGCAGCATCACTCTCAGAGTCACAGGGATCTCAAAGCAATGGGGTGACACGAGCCCCACACTTCGCTCTTCAGGCGGCAGCAAAACCTTTAAATGCCAGAAATGCTTTGCTCATCCCCCGAGCAGAGGCAGCACAGGCTGTGCAGCACCAAACCAGGCAGCTTTGCTCACTCCACACGAGGACAGGTATTCCCCAAAGCATGCACAATTTATTAAAGGAACATACACTTACGGCGTTATCCCCTAAAATGTCCAACTTTTTCATCAGCTCTGCTACTACGATGTCCTGACAAGAGAGAAGGGGAGAAGCAGGAGTCAGCACAGGCATCTGGCTTTGCTCAGGGGGAGGAGGAGAGGAAAGGAGCATCCCTTACTGTTACACCTTCGGCCTCGCAGTACACCTGCAGAGGGCTCTTCCCCTCCGTGAAGGGGCCGTGGTGGAAGGTGATGGCCGGGGAGCGTCTCTCTCTCTCCTGAAAGGACAGCAAGCCTTGGTCACCCCGGCTGTGTCACAGCACAGTGTGCTGGGATGGGCTGCCTTGGCAGGGCCCTAAGAGCTCACTGCACCCTGGTGATCTCTCGGGGTTCTGAAGGTCAGGGGGACCCCGAGATCGCAGAGAGTCTCTGCTCCCCTAGCCCGACGCAGCCAAAGGAGGAGCCTGGAATGTGTCTGGTTGTGTTTTCAAGGTTGTTTATTTTCCCTTATCTAAACATTCTCTCTCTGACCTGCTGAGCTCTGCCTAGCAAGTCCACCATGGCATTCTGTCCTGAGCCTTGGGCAGCTCCCACCTTATGTACTCAAAACCACGTGTGGATGTTTGCAATTTATTACCAATTCCCATCATCTGTGTTAGACTGTGAATCTCTGCCTTGAACCAATAGAAAAGTGTCACCATCACACCAAGACATGGAGGGCAAGGAGAAGGAGAAGAAGGTCAGGACACACCCAAATTTCTCCATCTTGTACCCCCTTGAACCCCATTCTAAAATCCCAAAACTCTACTTTTCCACCCTGTGTTAATTTAGCTACCACACTGCTCAAACCCTTGTGGTTTGTAATTCCTCACACAGCATTGGCAGTTTTTTCCACAGGCTAAAATCGAAGCCACAGGTGTTTGTGACTTCATGCCAGGGTCTCTGAGCCCCTGCCAGGGTCTGGAACCAGCCAGGGCAGCCAGAGGGATGTGCTGGACTCTTGACAGCATCCCACCCTCCTGCCACAAGGAGCCACCATCAGCCCTGGTGGTGTTTGTGGCTCTCCTCTGGCACCCGTGCTTGGGTCCCTCCCTGCAGGGTGCCCCTCTGCCGTGCCCCAGAGCCTTTGTGCCCGGCAGGGCCGGCTGTGCTCACCTCCAGCTCCAGGATCCTGAACTCCAGCAGCTCGTTCTGGTCCTTCGCGTCCTGCACGTCGTGTTTGAGGCGCGCCTCCTCGGCCTCCATCTGCCTGATCTGCCAAGCACAGGGCACGTCCTGAGCTCTGCGGGCACAGCCCGGGCACGGGGTGCAGGGCAGGGCAGGGCTGAGCCCCGGCCACCCCTGTCCGTGCTGGGATGCCCGATGGGGAGGAACGAGCTCTGAACCCCAGTGATGGCAGGAGGCTCATCAATGACTTTGTTATGCTATATTATACTCTATATTACACTAACAAGGACTATCACTAACTACCTACATCACTAACGAGACAGAAAACCCATGACTCTCTCTGAGAGTCTGACACGGCTGGATCCAACTGGTCCATGAATCCAAACACCATCGCCAGAACCTAATCCAGCGATCACCTTGGGTAAACCACCTCCAGAACACATTCCACATGGGCACAAACAGTGAATCAGATAAGAACTGGCTTTTCTCTGCTTCTCTCAGAGAAATCCTGACAAAGCTAAGTCCCTCTCTGTCCAGAGCATGTGAATGCCACAGCTGTCCTCGTGCACCTTGCACAGACACACATGGGAACGCAGAACTCCACTTCTCCAGCAGCTTTATAAGGATCTCGTGTTAAACATGAGTTACTTCCAGCAGGGCTGTGCCATACAGATCGGAATACTGCACCTTCTGCACCCCTCAAGACACAAATGTTATTTGAATAATGCAAATAGAGACATTAAATACCTTTTCTACCAGTTCCTGATTCCGTCTGTACAAGGCCTGCTTCTCCTCAATCCACTTCATGTCCTTGGGGAGGAAATGAACAACAGTGCAGGTGAGGCTGCAACAGCACAGCAGCAAGATTTCACTGAATCTCACACACAGAGGCACAGAACAGTGAGAGCTGTGAAACTCGACGTCCATTACTTCCTAAAATAACTTCCTAAGCCAAACTTGCTCATATAATTTAACAGCTGCATAGTACATAAACAGAATAAAAACATTCCAGTGGCTAAAAAACTCTTTCAGTGAAATCTGGTTTGCATTAAAAGGGATATTTCCAACTACGTGTTTACTATCAAATTTCTATTTTGCTAAATACAAATTACATATTTCTGCAGATCAGGCAAACTGAAGTTTATTTGGAAGCTAATCTCTTAGTCTGAGGAATATATAAAACCCACAAACCCAGAATATTGTTTATCAGCAAGAACAACAATAAGAGGTTAAGCTGGGAAAGCAACAATTGAATTATTTAATATTTTGTTGTTCTCAAAAACATTTTCTGTTTACTGCTGTTGTGGTTTGGATTTTTTTGGAGGGTTTTTTTTTGCTTTGTTGAGTTATTCTTTTTTTGTCTGCAGAAGTGGTGGACAAGCTGCAACCAGCCTGGGAACCTTTCTGGTCCTCCAGCAGAGAGGTGGGGAAGGGGCTGGAGTCAGCATTACCTGTCCCTGCTCTGCCAGAGCCTTCTCCAGGTCTTCTATCTGGGCCTGGGACCGGTGTATTTCTGCTTGGAGCTGCTCACGTGTCTGTGGGATATGAGAGAGAAATTAAAAAACCCAAAACAATCTATAAAGAATAATAAAATATATTTTTTTTTAAAATCAAACTTTCTCTGAAAGACCAAACCTAATGCAGTTACAGAAAAATTTTAAAACACCAAATGCTTTTAACAAATTATTTTGAAATCTTTTAACAAATTATTTTGAAAGCTTTTTGACAAAAGAAATTCACAGCTGAGCACAGAGTATCAAATAATCAAATGAAATCAAATCAAGTCTGGGAGATAGGGTTACTGATTTTGAGATTTAACTCAAGATTAACAAAATGGCAAAGCAGAGCTGGCCCCTCACAGCTGGTCTTGGCAGGCTACAGCCAGAGCCTCCTTCCTTTCTCCAGGAAAACAAATGAAAATTATTATGGCACAATTCTGGGCACACCTGGTTCCCTTAAATTTGGGGCACATTAAACAGTCAGAACAGAGCCCCCATTGCAAACTGGCAGATTTCATCGACCTTTGTGCCTTTGGTCCTTATCTATGACTTAGAGCCTTATCTGTGATTTAGTGCCATACCTATTTCACACCCATTTCTCATTTTTTACTATCTTTGTAGCTTCCTGCTTATTTAAATAGACACCACATTCCTACACATTTTCTGGAGAACAAATGTAATTATTGTCAGTTGTTGTATTTGTTACATGCTTTCATAGAACGTTTTCTTTCCTTGAGCCATTTCTCTACCATTTCTCCCATTATTTACACTGAAAGTGATTTTGTTTGCGTGACCTACACTGGAGCCTCCTTTGCCCACTATGAAAAGACTAAAACCCAGTCACTCTCACAGCTGGGCATGGCCTGGCTCACTGGGATTTTCCTTCCAGCTGCAATCCCCGATGTTTCAGACTAGATGATCATTCTGGGAACACTTCAGGGACTGTCAGTTTTCATGCATCACACCTTGACCCACTCCCAGTGCTCCTACACCTTCACAGAACAGGTGTAGGAACAAATTAGGGCTCTGCAGGCACATTTATCCTGTTAAACAGCAAATTTGTCCCTTTGCAGGCTGGGCATGACCCATCCTCCAGCCCTCCAGGGAGTCATGGAATGGTTTAGGAGGGAAGGGACCCCAAATCCCACCCAGTGCCCCCCTGCCATGGCAGGGACACCTCCCACTGTCCCAGCTGCTCCAGCCCCAGTGTCCAGCCTGGCCTTGGGCACTGCCAGGGATCCAGGGGTGCCACAGCTGCTCTGGGAATTCCATCCCAGCCCTGCCCACCCTCATGGGGAACAGCTCTCTGTGACTCCTTGGCACACACAGCAAGCTCCTAACAAAAGCAGCACTTCAGGCCAGCATCCAGAGCCATGGAGACTCTGAGGCACACAGGCACAGGGCACTTTGCAATTTAATTAACAGAAAAATCTCAGCTATAAGCCTTCTAAACATTTTATGAGGAATCATGTAATCTCTCAGAGCCCAGAAGGAATTAAGAGCACACATTACATATTTAAGGCTATCTGTCCTAGCTCTTTATAGAAAAAGAGCTTACTTTCAAGGATTTCCCATAAAAAAGTCTCCCTGGATTTCCCTGGAGCTGATCAGAGGTGAAAAGCCCGAGCTGCAGCAGTGGTGGATCCTCACAGCCCCTTCCCAGGGGGCTGGCAGCACCGAGTGCCTGGAGCTGAGCCCCAGGTGAGCTGCAGGACAGCCTGAGCCCACCCTGCGGGTCCCCACCTTCCCTCCCCATCCCACAGCCCCACTGCATGCAGGATGAGCCATGCAGACCTTGACTTCTCGTTCTGCATCCAGGGTGCCCCCGACCTGCTCCTGCAGCAGGGCGTAGGCGCGCTGCAGGGCCTGGTACTCCATCGTCAGCTGCCGGAACCGCAGCTCCGTCTCCTCCTTGGCCATGCCCTGGAGCACAAAGAGACAGGGGGTTGGCTCTGTTTGCTCTTAAAAGTGCCAAAATCACCACTTTTGAAATGCAGTTTGGAAGCACGGTACAAAAAATTTTGGTTAAATGCCCTCAGGCTGCCTCCCCTCCATCCCCTACACATCTCTTGCACGCTCTTACCTCCAGGAAATGCAATACAGAAATACAAAGATAATCCCTGCCTTGGAAAGATAAAAGCTTACCTTCCATATAGCACACCAATGACTGCACTGCCCTTTCTTACTGGAACAGGGAAAATCTTCACATTAAAGGTGAAAATGCAGCTTTCTTTAACAACAAAAGGTTTCAATTTGGAAAGGAAACCAAGCCTGACAGCCTCACTCAATTATTAAAACACCAACCCAGAGTTAATAGTTGTAGAAGTGGTGACAGCAACATGAAAGGAGCCCTTCATCTTCTTCCCCCTCCTTACAATTTCCAGTATGGAATGCTTTCATGTCAGGCTGACCGGAATATTTCACTCAACATGAAATGGAGTGACATGGCTGGGTGCATGCACCAACTTCCCACTGGCTGAACGGGGGGAAGAATGCCAAACAGGAATGAAAAATAAACAGCCTCATACATACACAAATACATTCAGATTTCCTGCAGTGCAGCCTGGTAACCATCAGGTATCTTTGATGGTGGAGTGAGGAATCGTGCAGGCTCCCTTTCAGCAGGCTGAATGACACACCTGCAGCCAGCACACCGTGAAAAGGCTGCACATCATCAGTGGAAATTCTTGGTTATTACAGGATTCTTGTTAAGCCCAGAGCTGCGTAATGGGCCAGTGATCTGACACGCACTGGGGAGTGCATTTGTGGGGAAGCCCTGGCAAATACAGGGAATAATTCCTTTAATTTGTATTACATTTGCTCCAGCCTTCCCCTGGAGCACTGAGCTTCAGGGCAGCGTTTGCTCCCTTCTCCCTCCACCAGCACAGACCTTTCTGCTCGGTGCTGGGCTGGGCTGGCCCAAACTGCAGCTGCCCAAACCTGCAGCCAGGCGCAGAGTGAGCACGCCTCCCAAGGCTGGTCCAATTTCTCGGTTTTTCAGACCCGCAAACCTGCCATAAATTCAATATTCTCAGGATATGAGATTTCCAGCTTGGCGGGAAGTTGTGGAGTTCCTAAAGACCTGAGATTTAGAGATACTGACCAACATGCACAGTACCAAATTTAACAGGAGTGTCTCATTCTGTGGTCTGAGGCGACAGAACGGTAGAAGATATGAGAGAACAGCAATGAGAGACAGAAATGATGGAACAGAGCAGGGATTTCATTAAAAACCAGCAGCAAGGTTACAACCAGAGCAAAAGGGGTTTTGGGGAGTACCTCCTCCAGGTCGTCCTCAGGCGTGCAGGGGGTCTGGTCAGTGCGGTCGGTTTGGTAGGAGATGGAGGAGCCATCGGACTCCAGGGAAGCCTCCTCGTCGTAGCCATAGAACGTCTCCACCACCGGCTTCTGACGGAGAGCAGGGTCAGGGGGTGGCCCTGGCAGCTGGACAAACTGCCTCTGCAGCTGGACAGACTGCCCTGGCATCTGGACAAACTGCCTCTGCAGCTGGACAGACTGCCCTGACACCCAGACAGACAGCTCTGGCACTGGGACAGACTGCCCCTGCACCTGGACAGACAGCCCTGGCATCTGGACAGACTGCCCTGGCACTGGGACACACTGCCCTGGCACTGGGACAGACAGACTGCCCCTGCAGCTGGACAGACTGCCCCTGCAGCAGGACAGACTGCCCTGGCACTAAGACAGACAGACTGCCCTGGCACCGGGCGCTGCAGCACCCTCCCCTCCAGGCTCAGCACCCTTGTCTCTCCCCGCTGCTCCTCCAGAACCGGCCCAGCCCTTCCCACATGTGTCTGTAAAACCTTCACCCCACGGCAGAGCTCAGTTGGAGCCTGGAACTGCTGGAATCCCTCAACTGGCACGTTTGTGACACCTCCCAGCCCCTGCCTGCTTAAATGCATTTCCCTGCCAATTTCTCTATGGCCAAACACTCCTTTTATTTTGAGTGTTCACCTCAGCACGAGGGGAGAGCCGTGCACTGAAACGTCTTTTAATCCCCTGGCATCACCATGGTGTCCCTCCTGTCAGCACCACAGCTTTCACATGAAAAGTCAGATCTTCAAAAATATTGTACTTGAAGTTAATCACCACAGCAATGTGTCCGTGGTGTGAAGAAATCCAGTTTTACACTCAAAACTGCTTTTTGTTTAAAGAAATGGTGGTAAAAAAACATCTACTGTAAATGCTTGAAAGTCAAAGACAACACTTCACAGCTCTAAAGATACTTTAAAGTGATGATTTACAAAAACATGCCTAGATTTTGGCCTTTGGTTTTAATTTGCAGCGGGTAACTTTTGATGGAGAATCACAGAACCCCAGAATGTGGCAGGGACACCTCCCACTGTCCCAGCTGCTCCAGCCCCAGTGTCCAGCCTGGCCTTGGGCACTGCCAGGGATCCAGGGGTGCCACAGCTGCTCTGGGAATTCCATCCTATGCCAGGGCTGCCCACCCTGCCAGGGAACAATTCCCAATTCCCAATCTCCCACCCAGCCCTGCCCTGGCAGTGGGAGCCATTCCCTGAGTCCTGTCCCTCATCCCTTGTCCAAAGCCCCCCCAGCTTTCAGAGAAGCAGAACTGACTCCCTGGAAGGCCTGGATGTGATTTTGGGGATGACAGGAGTTATCTCCCATCTACCTCAATTAGTTATTCATAGGTTCATTAGCTCCAGCCTCACTCTAATTGTTCATTTGTGGATCACAGCACACTGGCAGCCCTGAGATTGAACCCTGCTGTGACATTTCAGTGTTAATATTTACATTAACACCCTGCCAAGCCCTCATTAACCAACACTCCCTTTTCCCCGAGCTCCAACCATTGCTTCCCTAACCAGCAATTTCCACATGTTACTAAACTCCATCATGAATTATTTACTACATACACATGTTTTCAGGCAGCACCATTAGAAGATCATTTGGAGATGTGTTAAATCGTAAAATTTGTCTGCTCTTAAGAACCACAATCCACCGAAGTCCCACAGGGTCAATGCAGAGCATGAAAAGGCTCAGAATGCTCGATGCAAACAGGTCCCCTGCCCCTGCTTGAATATCCCAGTACATTCTGTCAATGTCCTTGAACCCCATCACCCAAATTTAAGTTCAGGACGCACTTGCAGACCCTTGAGGAGAACAATGCCATGGCCCTGAGGTGCTCAGCACCCAGCACTGTCCATCAGTGTGTCACCCAGAAGGTTTTGTTTTTTACCTTAGGAATTCTTGTCATTTTTTTCCTCTGCTTCCTGAACCTTAGCAGCTTATCACGTTCCTGCAAGAGTCAGAGACACGTGTTGGCTGTTTTCAGAGAGCAGGGATTGGAATTAACCACATCAGCACAAGGAGCCACCGGGGAAGCAGCAGACAGGAATGTCCCTGCTGGCCACTGTCCCACACTGTCACCACTCCAGGTTATTTACTCCAACATCTTTCAGGTTTGCCACAGACAACTAGAAATTGCTCTGTATGTCCATGAAAATCAAACTAAAATAAACTGATGGTAAGGTTCATGCTGAGAGTTTGGGTGTCCCTTGGAGCTGCTCCCCAGGTGACCATGGCCCTGCAGCCCATGCCCTGCTCCTGCCCTGTCCTGGTGGCTGTTGGTGGCTCTGGAAGGGGCACACACCCCACTGCCCCATTGCAGGGCCTCTTTGATCTCTGCACTTCCAGGCTCAGCTCCTTCTCTAAGGCTCTGCAGGTTTCCTGTGCCTCTGGAGTAAGGTTTGAGCCTTTACTGCTGCCAACAATTTCTACAATCGGAGGAAATAATAGAATAATAAAATTCCAGGTGGGAGGGAGTTTAAATATTACCTCCTTTCACCCCTGCCATCGGCAGGGACACCTCCCACTGTCCCAGGTGGCTCCAAGCCCCATCCAGGCTGGCCTTGGGCACTGCCAGGGATCCAGGGGCAGCCCCAGCTGCTCTGGGCACCTGTGCCAGGGCCTGCCCACCCTCACAGGGAAGATTTTCTTCCTCTTTGTGGTATGAGGTTGGTTTTTTACAGTACTCAGAGAAAAGTCTCTGTTCTGGACGTGTAAAGCCAGGACTGCAGAGAGGGAAGCTCTGAAGGGGAAGCCCTCAGATGTCCCGTTTTGGCTGCTGGATACAAGGATGTGGTGACCTTGGGGACGCTGCCAGGGGCTGCTGCTCAGCCTGGTGGCCAGCCCCGGGCCAGCAGCAGGGCTGATCGAACTCCCTGCCTGGCATGGGAACAGCACATCCTGTCAATACCCATCAGTGGTGGCACCCCAAACACCCCTGCCCACCACAGCACAGGCAAGGGCAGCGCTGAGCACGCCCTGGAGTGGGTCACACAAAGCCAGGGCTGGCCAGAGTGACAAAATGCAGTTCCAAGGGGACAGGGCTGCCCTGGAGATGGGGACACCTGCCCCCAGCCATCAGGGCGGGTGGTGGGATTAGAGCTTTCCTCCCCACCATCACCGTGCTTTTCTCTGGTGAGCAACTGTTGATAAAAAAATCTCCTCTGAGGAAACCTCTGGGTCAGCTCACTGCTGAACACAGAAGGAAGGAGAATAAATATTATTGTACCCTGCCTGCTTTCCATGAACAGCAATTTAAAGCACATATAGATGAGAAGGAAGATAATGCCACTCTTACCATGACACTCTTCACATAGCCAGCAGTCTCCAGGGTCTAATGAAAAAGAATAAAATAATGTCAGTAACTGGACAGGCTTAGAAAGAAAGGGAAGAAATAAAAGTTATTTTCTAGAGGAGTATCATGATTTTGGTGTTTTGTTTCCAAGGACAGAGAACGTGTTAAGAATGAAGCAGAAGCCCAAGCCCAGGACTGCAGACCCCTCCCTGCACACAGGAACTTTCAGCCCCAGTGGTGAGTCCAGCTGAAGGAGCTGAAGTTTCCCTCCCAGCTCTGGCCACCAGCACATGCAAGGATATGGTTCTATCAGGCCAGGCCAATGCAGACTGAAAGGGTTTTCCCAAACACCACACCACAGATAAGTTCTATTACTACTAAGCACAGAAATGCCTGCCAGGTTCCCCTGCTGCCCATCAGCTCCCAGAACCTCGACCACCCCTTCCCTGGGCTTGCTCTGCTCTGCCCTTGGGCGCTCTCAAGTGAGAACAGCAGCCTTCCATCGTACCTTGGAGAGCTCATCAATGATGTTTTGCTGCTCAATAACTTGTAGTCTCAGGAAATCCACTTCCCTTTCTTCCTGGCTGTGGTCGAGGTCATTTAGGGAGCTTGGTCTCCTTATCACTCCAGTTCTTTGCCTCTAGAATCCAAAAACCACGGGGCAGAGGGGGAAATGATCAGGAGCCTTTGCCAGGGACTTGTCTGGCCTCTCCCTTTACAGCAAGTAAAACCATCTCTCTAATGGTTGTCCTGGCAGCTCTCCTGCTCCCCATTTGCTGAGCCTCACATCCAGGCTCCAAACGTGCCAGCTGGTCCTGCTCCTCCAGCTGGAGAAAGGGGCAGGGCCACAGGGGCAGACTTCCCAGGGATTGTGAGGTGATTCTGGCAGCAAAGCTGGAGGTGAACCGTAGAAGGCCAGATTAGTTTGGGTTGGAAGGGGCCTTGCCAGAATGGAAGAGTTTCCCATGGAACCAATGCCTGACTCCCTGAGCCCCACCAGCTCCACATCCCACCAGCTCCCAGGAGCACAGCCACTCACCATGGCAATATTTTCCTGTGTCACAAATTTCAATTTATTTTCCATTCGACGTAAGGCATGTGACAACTCCTCATTCTTCCTACTGAGGCGTTTGTTTTTGTCCAAAATGGGCTTATACTGACTTTCTGCTTCTCTGAGACGCTTCAACTGAAAGATAAAGAGAAAAATAACACCTCTGGAGTTTTTTCATCAAATATATTGACTACTTGCTGTAACAATCACAGTAGAAGTATTTTCTCCTGATGCAAACTGAACTGATCAAAACCTCTTGGGATTTCCCACTGGGGAGAGAGCAGTCCCACAAGAGAAGATATTCTGCCTGTGTAGCAAACATTCAATGTGGGGAATGTACTTATTTTTTAAAAGAAATACATACAATTTGGGCTAATGCCATCTTAGAAGTCCATTGTTACCCAAGCCCAGAGGGGAGCACCATGGCAAAGGCCGAGCAGAGGAGGAGCCCCTCGTTTCCAGGCAGCACGGGAGCAATCCCGGGGTGTTCCTGGGACAGGGCAGCACGTCCCCAGTCCCGGGCACTGCTGCACTCACCAGCTCGTTCCTCTCCTCCGACAGCAGCGCGTTCCTGTCCTCCAGCTTGCGGATGATCCCGCTCAGCTCCGCGATTTTCAGCTGGAAGCGCCGGGCGTCCTTTTCATCCAACTGCTGTTCCTAAAACAAAGATCAACTGCAAATAACTGCTCATAAGTGAGCATGCAAAAGCACATTGGCAAAGCTCAAACTTCTTCTTTACCCAAATCCAAACATTTTAAAATGTTTTTGTGTACAGTGTATCCCATGGAACCCAACTGACCACGGAAAGCTGCGGGGCGAGACCAATGGAAAGTCAGGAGTGGAAATGTAACAAAGAATGCAAATGCAGAGGTATGTATATGCATATGTATATCCATATGCAAATACAACGTCACAAATGTGACAATACAAATGTGCAACCACAAAGTTTACAAATGGTAAACTTGGAAACAGCAGAAAATGTCAAAACTGAAGGCCGTGTTCCAATGATGCCACTGTTGAACTGAGAGCTTCAGACACATCGCCCACTCTGAGGACTCGGTCATAAGAAACTGGTATTAAAATTACTGAATGGGGAAAATCCATGCAATTGTGCATTGAATAAGCTCTTCTTCCAGAAAGCTGTGGCCCTTATGGGGCCCTAAAGGGTCACTCATAAGGCCACAGGGGTAGCACTTTATCTGAGTGAAAATGCTTCAATCAAATTAGAAATGAATAGAGATATAGGTAGATGTGTTCTCATTCAGAATCAGAGAGGAGTTACAGCTCCTGACAAATGTGACAGACTTTTCCCCTTCTCTATGACTCGTTCTGGTCTTTGGCAGGAGTTGAGTACAACTAGAGAGCGGCAAATTAGCGCCCACAGTGCTGGTGGCACTTTTGGGACGTCTAGGGTTCCTCATTCAACAGGTGCAGGAGAGGCTTGGGCCAAAGAATAAAATAGATAGGTTTGCTCAGGTATAAGTTTTACACTTGTACTGAGACAATCAAGGCTGTTGCAAAAGAAATCTTGATGAGGATCAGCAATGAGGACAGGCTGCACACGTCAGAGGCACGAGGGCAGTTACCCAAGGGCTTTTCTGGGCAAAGGGGGTCCCCAGCAGGGAGGGGCCAGAGTTACATTGCAAAAGCCACTGTGGAAGGGTGACTCCAATCCAGTGTTCTGGCAGGGAACAAACAGCAGGGAATAGGTTAGGAGGTTTGGCTCACTCTGTGTCCTGCTGACAGCGAGCAGCAGGAAAGGGGTGCCGGGGGGGCTGCAGGGGCCCTGCTGCCCTGCACTGCCTTCCCCTTCCCTCGGGAACTGGCCTCGTACGTCTGCTCCCCGAGCCCCAGCTCGCGCCTCCGAGAGCTTGCACACAAACAGCGCTGGGTGAGAAATGCATTTGCATCGTTTGTTGGCAGAATCGTGTCAAACTGTCAAACTAAGGCGGGTGGCTGAGCATGGTACGGTGAGGAAAAGGAGAGAGAGAACAGAGGAATTTCACCCTGCTGACAGAACCAAACCAAACCGACCGGGAAACAAAACGACAGAAAGCGAAAGCTCTCCCATGGCGAGGTTGGGTTGGAAATCTCGAGGGTTTGGGCACAAAAACCCGAGCACGGCGCGGGTGCCGCGGGGCCCCGCACAGCCATGGGACAGCTCTGGCTCCGGGGTGCACTCATCAAGATTCTGTCGCTCGCTTGGGCGCCCGCACAGGTGAAACCACGTGGAAGTGCTTACGGGGCTTCCCGAATGATCTGAAGCGTCTCCTGCACCACTTGCATAAGGAAGTTCCCGCTTGGGGCTGCTCAGATGCCGGTCAGACTCTTTGAGCTGGGACAGTTGTTCATCTAAAGCCTCCTTTTGGAGCTGCAGTCTCTGAGCGTGCCCGGCTCGCACCCCTAACTCTCTCTCCAGCACGAAGACTGCTCTGTCCTTAAACTTAATCTCCTCCATCTACAAGGAGAACAGAACACAGTCACACAGGGCTCGGCAGCACCCGCAGCACCCCACGGCGGCACAGCCCGCTGCCCTGCCACCCCGCAGCACGGTGACGGTGACAGCGAGCCAGCTCTGCCCTTCTCCAGGGCCACGCAGCAGGAAATAAATCCCTCCTGCGGCAGGCAGCTTGTGCTGAAACCCTGGGACAGGGCCTGAAATCCTAGCACCGCTGCAGAATGCCTTTAAAAAAATTAAAGCTTGACATTCACATCACACTTTGATTGTTTCACTCAAACACTTTAACGATTCTGCAGCGTTTTGCTTGGATGTCAGTCTAGAAAATGTGGATTAATATTTTTTAAAGAAAAATATTGAAACCTCAGTGTCCTTTAAATTTTCAGAATTCCTAGAAGAAATATATTATTTTTTTTAAAATTCTTTTGTCCCAGAAGTCTCCCTTGTGAGCAATTCCTTTTCCATGAGAGGTTTCACTTACACATAATAAACATTATGCAAAATCACAAAATGCTTAAATGACACATGCCCAGTGACCTCTAATGCTCTCCTTCCCTGTTTGCCTGTGCCAAGGGCCTGTGCACATCCCATGGGATCAGCCAGGATCCGACCCCTGGGGTCTGGCTGGAGTCCACGAGGGTGGCTGGGTCCTGCCTGTGAAGGAATTCCTGATCCCAGCCCAGCAAAGGAAATCCCTGGTCCCAGCCTAGCTGATCCCAGCCTAGTGAGGGAAATCCCTAATCCCAGCCCAGCTGATCCCGGCCCAGCAAAATCCCTGATCCCAGCCCAGCGAAATCCCCGATCCCAGCCCAGCGAAATCCCTGATCCCAGCCCAGCGAAATCCCTGATCCCAGCCCAGTGAAATCCCTGATCCCAGCCCAGCTGATCCCAGCCCAGCAAAATCCCTGATTCCAGCCCAGCAAAATCCCTGATCCCAGCCCAGCTGAGCCCTGCCCAGCGAAATCCCCGATTCCAGCCCAGTGAAATCCCTGATCCCAGCCCAGTGAAATCTCTGATCCCAGCCCAGTGAAATCCCTGAGCCCTGCCCAGTGAAATCCCTGATCCCAGCCCAGCTGGGCTGGGGTGCTGCCCACAGTGCTGCCCACGCTGGACCCCACAGACACGTCCCCCACAGCAGGAGTGGCACGGGCTGCAAGGGAGGCAGAAATCACACCCAGCCCTCAGGCTCTGCCAGCTGCTGCCAGGCTCCAGAAACACAAGGGGTTTGCCATAGGTTTTTGGGACTTCAGACATTTAAGTGTAAAGGTCAGTTTTTAAACCTGGCCTGCTTCAATAAGAACATTTTGCCTTGTAAGAGCTGTGCTAATACTTTTATCTCTGCTTTGTTTCTAAACCTGGAAAAAATGGCATAGGGAGTCAGCAGTCACTCCAAGGAGTGTGTTTGCAGTAAATGCCAGCCTGGCCCACCCAGGGCAGGCGCTGGCAGGTCACACAGGTATCAGGACAGCAAAATGCAGCAAATGAAAGGGATTTTGGGTGCCATTGACTAACAATCCTTCCAAGGTCTGTGAACGCAGAGCCTGCTGACTTTGAATGAAACAAAGACAAAGCTCTGGAGCACCTGAGCTCTTTCTGCTAAATGCCTAATGAGGAAAAATCTAAATGGATGCACAGGTGAAAAGATAACACATCATTAAATGATTATTTGTTTAAAATAAGCAGAATATTGGGTAGTTGAGTCTTATTTATAGGGAAACAAAGACATATTACAACAAAGGCAACACATGAAATTGGGAGGAACAAAGAGATGAGAAAATGCAAAACATTTCACAGCACTTCACTAATGGTTTGTTTTCCAGAAAAAAAAAATCCCTAAATATAACCTTCATAAACCACAAGCAAACATCAGCATCGACATCTTCCTTCACCTGAGTAAATTCCCACACATGACACAGGCACAAGTTTGGTGCCTGCAGCCCCCAGAAAGACAGAGACAGTGTGGAAACAGCAGAGATGGTATTTATTGTCTGCTCCAGAGCTGGGGAATATCGATGAGTATTTATTGTCTGCTCCAGAGCTGGGGGAATATTGGTATTTATTGTCTGCTCCAGAGCTGGGGGAATATCGGTGAGTATTTATTGTCTGCTCCACAGCTGGGTGAATATTGGTGAGTATTTATTGTCTGCTCCAGAACTGGGTGAATATCGATGAGTATTTATTGTCTGCTCCAGAGCTGGTGGATATTGATGAGTATTTATTGTCTGCTCCAGAGCTGGGGGAATATTGGTGAGTATTTATTGTCTATTATTTGACCTAGCAAATCCTATTTCCTCAGTTTTTCGCATTTCCCTGATAAAGGAGGTGGGAGTGAGGAGGCTGCAGTGGCCATGGCTGTGCAGAACTTCTCCTTCCTGACCAACCTAGAGTTAATTAAAGTTTAAATGCTCTTTTCCACACTGCATTTTGGCTCCCACTTAGCAAGAAGCATCAAGGCCAGTTAAGCTTGGGGAACACTCCAGGCTGAAAGCTGCTTCCCTGGCTGTGCACACACCCAGCAGGGAGTGCTCCTGCCCATACAAATGGCATTAAACACAGCCGCGCAGTATTTTCAGGCGGCTTAAAATGCACAAAGTGAAATTTAAGAACGGCTGGCTAAAATTAGCCATCCTCTCCGAAGGAGGCTGCAGCCACACGTACTGGTTACCATCTGCAAGGGGATTTCTCCCTCTGCAGTGCCTGCCCTGAGGCTGGGAGCCAGCTGGAGGGGCTGAGCTGAGCCAGCCTGGGCAGGCACAGACAGCACAGCCCCGTGTGCCAGCACAGCCCCGGGCTCAGAGCAGCCTGAGCACACCCCAAAAACACCCAGTGCCCCCCCGTGCTGCCTGCAGAGCGGGGGGCTGCCAGCCCTGCCCCCGGGAATGGGCTGCAGCCTTTGGCATCCTGTCCCCAGGGATAACTGCCCTGGAGAGCTGCGGGTTTATCTGGAGAACACGCAGATCACAGAGCCTGCAGTGCCATCTGGGCCCCATCCCCACCCTGTCCCCATCCCCAGCTGAGTACCACCTCCAGGTGACACCTCCAGGGATGGCATCCAACCCTCCCTGGGCAGTGCCAATCCCTGAGCCCCTTTCCATGGGGAAATTCCTGCTGTGCCCACCCTGAGCCTGCCCTGCCCAGGCTGGGGCTGTCCCTCTGCTCCTGTCACAGACTGCCAGCCAGTGCAAGCATGGAAAATGCCCCGAAGCTGTGCCAGAGAGCCCCTGATTCTCTGTTACGGGGCACTGCTCAGCCCCTCATCCCCGACATCAGGGCCCTCCCCACAAGTGCCAGGAGCCAGCAGCTCCCACCAGAATAACCGAGGTGGGGTCCATGGAGCTGAGAGCACCTGACCCCACCCAGGAGGCACTCAGGGCTTGCTAAAATCATAGCATCAGGTAATTTCATTGGTGCAGGGAGCCAACCTGATTCTTTCAAGCAGGAGCTGTAAAAAAGTTTGATTTCCAAAGGCAGTTTAGGTAACATCCCCTTGAACCACTCTGTTCCCTATAAGTAAGACCATACTTATTTTACAGCTTCTGCATTAAAGGCCATTAGCAGGGCCTTTCCATGTGATGCAGCAAGTTTATTTAGGATGCCCATTAGCCCCCCATTCACTGTGCTGTATGAAATCAATGCACCAGTGATGTATGGTTAGAGAAGAGTGTACTTACACTGCAGGATATTTGAACAGCATCAATAAAGCAGTTGGTTATAAACGATTTTTAATATCCTCTTCATAAAAAACAAACTAATCTATGAAAAACCCTTAACAGCTAAAGTCTGAGAGAAGAGGAGGCTAAATGAAGGTAGGGGATGCTCCACTGCTGGTGTCAGTCCCCACCAGGCCCTCTGGGCTCAGGTGATGCTGTAGCAGCATCCTCCAGGGTAGGAGGTCCTGCAGAGGGTCTCTGCAGGGTGGGCACACTGCCAGCCTTTGGTCTGGGGCCAGACTGCAAGCTCCTTGGGCATTTTAAATTTATTTGGAGGTTGGAAATGTCACCCTGTTCTTTTAAAAGTTTCAAAGTTCTTCTGAAAGTTTTCTATGCCTGCTGATGTTCACATATTTCTACTGGAGTTCTCACACACTGTTCATGTAAATAATGATTGTTTTGCATTCTTTGTGGGAGGAGAGAATTGATGGGCTGTTGGTTTGACCAGGGTGGTTGGAGAGGTGGCACTTCCATCCTCCAATCCACGGTCACTTTTGGGATTCTATATATTGCAGAGTAAAAAATAAAACTCTCTCTTGTTGCTCTTCTTGCATCTAACGTGTGTGTGAGTTATCTCCTGTCGTGGTAGGACAGGATAACAGCTAAGGGCTAATGCCTAGGAGGAACCTGATGGGTGTGTACCAGGACACTGAGTGCTGAAAAGCAGCATGGCAGACACAGAACGATGGTGACACCACGGGGACAGCGAGACAAGACCCAAAACACACATCAGGAGGGCATGGGTGCGTCCCCAGGCCCCTGGGCAGGGCAGCAGCAATGACCCCTGAGCCCCACCAGGTGCTGGTGCCTGCCAGGCTCTGCTGCAAGGGCTTCCCTCAGAGGGAGCTCCCTCCCACAGGGAATTCCCCTTTTCCAGGCACCACCATCCTCCCAGCCCGGTGCCACACATGCCAGAGGAAATCCCCACAGCCACAGGCCAGAGGCTCTTGCCTTTGGGAGCGGAGCTGCTGCAGCTGAGCACCGGGTGCTGGGTGGGGTGAGGGCAGGCTGAGGGTCCCTGCGGGTCAGGTGAGCAGGGCCAGGTGAGATCCCAGCCCCTGCTCAGGTGGGAGCCACACAGGAGCAGAACCAGCCCCCGTCCTGGGCAAACCACCACGCTGGGCATGGAGAGGGCTCGCCCTGAATGCCCTGCTGTGGGGGTGGCACCCAGGGGTGCAGAAAAAGAGCACTTGGGATTGTGTAAGCCTCACAATGGGACATTCATGGGAACCAGCAAAGGCAGGCAGAGGGGGGCACCAAGGTGGATCAGCAAGGATCTGTTTCCTTGGTGAGGAAATAGGGGCATAACCCAAGACACAGAACTGCAGTGGCATTCCCCTGACCAGCAAGGAACCTGAGGGCTCTTTGTGCTACCTTTGATGTGAACACCATCCACAGGATCTCACATGGATAAAGCAGTTTCTCACAAAACATCCTAATTCTTTTCAAAACCAGTTTGCCCTTCCTGCTGGTAATGCAGACAGAGCTGGAGCAGCCCCAGGGGTTCCACACCCGCCCAGTGAGCCCAGCACGGACATTTTCCATTTCCTGCCCCGAGCAGCGGTGCAGGAGCAGAGGGCCACACGTACCAGCCTGCGGATTTCCCTCTCGCACTCCCTCTTGATGCGGGTGATCTCCTCCTGGTGCAGGTGGTACACGCTCCTGATCTCGGCTGCTTTCATCTTGTCAGCCTGGATCACCATTGTCAGAGCCTCCTCCACCTGCTTCTTGGCCCCCTTCAGCTCAGAAATTTCTTGCTGCATTTTGATTTTCTCCACCTCAAAGCCCTTCTTGGCCTCCTCCTTGGCCTCGGTGAGCAGCACCGTTTTCACCTTGTCGGGGCCCCCCTCACGCACGGCGTTCAGCAGGGTCTGGAGTCTCTGGATTTCATTGTCTTTAATTTTTATTACTCTGAGCAGCTCGGCTTCGTGCTGTCTCAGAAGAGTTTCTCGAACAGCTTGGAGCTCCTTCATTTTGTCTTCATGAAGTTTGACTTTGAGCTCTGTGACCACCACTGTGCTTTTATGCTGTTCGTGCTCCTTGATCTGCTTCACTTCCTGATTCTTCTCCCTTTCCAACTTGCTGACCTATAAGGAAAACAAGAAAAGTGAATTATTTTCAATCAACCAAACAATGAAAACATATAATGATATTGTTTAAAAATGGTAGAGATGACTTTACACTGTTACACCTCAATGCTGGTATGTCTGTGTCTACAAACTGGTGGTAGCACAGACCTTTCTTTCGCTGCAGGCTCATGTTTAATGCACATTCAGGACTCAGTCAGTACCTTCGGAGTAAGTCAGAGTCCTTACTTTATTCTGCAGAAGCTTTCACAGCTGATTACCCCCCAAATAAGGGAAAAATCAGGTGCCAAGACCACCACTCTGGCCCACTCAGGCACGCAGGCCAAACCTGCATGTGCACAGGCAGGGCACAAAGAGCTCTGAGCAAACTCCTGGGAAGCCCAAACAGCTGCATTTTACCAGATGCTCCTGAAGCGATGAATTATTCAGCAGAAATAACTCCCTGTACCTGACCACACAAGGCTCAAGTGGTGTTTCAATTTAAAACTGTGCCATAAACTCTAGAGAAGCCATGGCCAGGAGTGGCTGTGAAGGACAGGGAGAAGGAAAACAAAGTCCTCAGCCCTAAAGCTGCAAATGCTGCGCAGCAAAAAGATCAACAGGTGCTCTATTTACTTACACCTGTGTGTCAGATTCATGGTCTAAAATGCCTAATAGTGATGCAAATTCATGGAAAAATGCAAACTATCATTTTGTCCCCGCGTGGTAACACACTTCTATTCTGGAACAGAAAACCCCCAAAGTCTATCAGTGGAAAGTGATTTGGAGAATTGGGGAAAAGCCAATTAATACTCCGTGCTGCTGCTGAGGAGTGATCCGAGGGTGAGAGCTGGAAGCCCTCAGGGCTGAGGCTCCAGCTCCAGACCCGCTGTCCCGCTCCCGAAGGCTGAGGCAGAAGCTGTGTCTCCCTCAGTCTGGGAGTCAGTGCAGGAGGCAGAGCTGAGGTTCAGCATTGCACTCCTGGCTGAGCACTGGGTTTGGAGGAGTGTGTGTGCAAAACCCAAACGCAATCAGTGGGAAAGGGGAAGAGAAGAACTGGCAGAGGGAATTGCAGCATCCCGAACTTTCCGCTGGACGCAGAACCGCGCTGACGGGAGGGAAGGTGCCCACCTTGCTCTTCTCCTGCTGGAGCTCGATCTGGATGTCGGTGAGCTTGGCCCGGAGCTCCTCGTTGGCGGCCTGCAGGGCGGCCAGGGCGTCGGGCTTGTCCCCCCTGGCGCGGCTGCTGGAGCCCCTCTTGGCCATGGTGAGGGAGGCCGGGCCCCGCTGCGCGCCGCTGGCCGCTCTACATCTTCCGGGGCCTGCGGAGGGACAGCGTCACCGGCCTGGCGGGACCAGCGCCCAGCACTGCCAGCTGGGGCTGCAGCCACAGCTCTGCTGGGCTGGAACTCCTCTGAGCCCAGCCTTCAGCCCAGCCCTTCCCAGCTGACACAGACCCACGGCCCAGGCGCCACAGCCACACGGCCTTTAAAGCCCCCCAGGGCTGGGGACTGCACAGCCGGGCTGGACAGCCCTTCCCATGGAGAGGTGTAGCCCAATATCCAACCTGAACCTCCTCTGATGCAGCCTCTTGGCCCATCCCTTGTGCCCTGGGAGCAGGGCCTGTCCCCCCCGGCTGCACCCTCCTGCCAGGCAGTGTCCTGCTCCTTCACCTGGACAGTTATTGTCCTGGGGTCCTGCTCCTTCACCTGGACAGTTATTGACCTGGGGGCCTGCTCCTTCACCTGGGCAATTATTGTCCTGGGGTCCTGCTCCTTCACCTGGACAGTTATTGTCCTGGGGCCCTGCTCCTTCACCTGGGCAGTTATTGTCCTGGGGTCCTGCTCCTTCACTTGAACAATTATTGTCCTGCTCCCCTGCTCCTTCACCTGGACAGTTATTGTCCTGGGGTCCTGCTCCTTCACCTGGGCAATTATTGTCCTGGGGTCCTGCTCCTTCACCTGGGCAATTATTGTCCTGGGGTCACACAGGGCGAAGAACATGGGATCCACACGGGGCAGGGAACATGGAACCCGCACAGGGCAGGGAATGTGGAACCCACACAGGGCAGGGAATGTGGGATCCACATGGGGCAGGGAATGTGGGATCCACATGGGGCAGGGAACGTGGGATCCACATGGGGCAGGGAACGTGGGATCCACACAGGGCAGGGAATGTGGGATCCACACGGGGCAGAGGATGTGGGATCCACACGGGGCAGAGGATGTGGAAAGCACACAGAGCACAGAAGATGTGGAACCCACACAGAGCAGAGGACGTGGAATGCACACAGAGCAGAGGATATGGAATGCACACAGAGCAGAGGATGTGGAATGCACACAGAGCAGAGAACATGGAGCCCACACAGCACAGAGGAGGCGGATGTTCAGGAGGGACAACCACCCACCAGTCCCCAGCTCGGAGGCAGCAACCACTGGGAAGATTTTATTTCTAATCTATTTTCTTAGAATAATGGAATCACAGGGTGGTCACAGTACAAAGTTCCACTAAAAAGTGCTCAGATTTGGGAAAACATTTCCAACCTTTTTAAAGCGATGCTGTTACCGTGGGCAGCAATGCTCCTGGCTGGTGGCCCTCAGTGCCTCGGTCTGTGCCTCATGGTCCAGCCCCAGCAGAGGCACAGAGGCACTGTCCCTGTCAGTGGTGGGGCTCAGCAGGTCAGGGCAGCTGCAAGGAGAGAGTAACCATGAGTGACAACAGCAAAACAGCAACGGAGCCAGCCTCCACAACAACATTGCAATAAAAAACTCCTGGCTTGAATTGTAACAGCAAAATCCTGAATCTGTCAGGGAGAAAAGAGCCAAGGGAGGCACCTGCTCTGGGGGTACAAAAATGGGATATAAGGCTGGGAGAGAGCTGGAGCTTGGGAGAGCAGAGCTGCCAAGAGCAAGAGAAATCATGCAGGACATTGGGTTGGAGGGAAGGAGGGAGGCCGAGACCTAGAGAAACAAGTGGGAGAATAAAATAACACTCCTGATGTTTACTGTCCAAAGCAAGGTGGTACAAACAATCTCAGTTCTGCTGTTACTCAGGCTGGTGCCTGACTTTGTAGCCTGGAAGTTTCTATAAAAATAAACATGTTTGATTGTGCAAAGAAATAGAAATAAATTAAAATTTAAAGATATTGCCTGAGAAATCTATAGCACAAGTACTTGTTCTTTGCATTTACGATTCTTGCTGCTTTGTGTAAGCAGACACAACACACCAATGGAGATTTAAAACCCTCTTTCTTTATTGATAAAAAATGGGGCAGCCTGTAGCCACAGGCACAGGGTTGTACCTGCTGCAGCAAATGAGGCCTTTGTGCACATTACAATTATTTTCCAGAGGAGTCCCTCCAAAGGCAGAGGCAGCATGAGCCAGGTTAGTTCACAGCCTGAGGAAGCAGCAGCAGCAGCAGCAAGCTTTAACTGCTTCCACAGGGATGGCAGACACGTCACCATTTGAATAGCACAGGCATTGGAGAGGGGCATTGCTAAGGGATGCTCCTGACAGGGAGGGCTGAGAGAATTTACATCTGTGTCACCATTTGAATGGCACAGGCATTGGAGAGGGGCATTGCTAACGGGGTGCTCCTGACAGGGAGGGCTGAGAGAATTTACATCTGTGTGCTTACAGAAAAGAAAACAGGAGCTGGCACCGGGCAGAGCTCACTGGGTGGGAATTCTGTCTGAGGTCAGCTTGTAGAGCCACGGGTCCTGATACTTACAGTGATGCAGCTTTTACATTTTCTTTATGAAGGCTTAATGGTAAGGATTGACACATTGCATGCCCAGCATCTGCTTAGATCCTTGAACTCCAACTCCTGCACAGGTTAGTCCAGAAATGACCACGTGCCCGCTAAACCATGCCACAAATGTCACAAATGTCACAAATGTCACAAAGTGCAGCCCCTGTGAGGAGTGGAGGGCCCGAGGAGGAGGCGGTGGAGCCTTCCCTTGGCACAGCAGTGGGGATGTGAGCGTGGGAAGGGTGGCAGAGCCCAGGGGTGGTGTGTATATATGTGTGTATATACACATATTTAGATACAGATTACAGATCTGGTGCTGGGGCCAGCAGAGCTCAGCCCTGGCAGCTGCCCCAGCAGAGCTGGAGACGCTGGGGTGTTATTCCCAGGGTAAGAATGGAAACAGGGCTGACCAGGGCACGGCAGCTCCCAGTGCCAGCCAGGACCTTGTGTGTGCGCAGGGGGACAAGTGCCATTGTTGGAGCCACCACAGTGGTGGCTTGTGCTCCCACAAGTGTGGCCCTGCAGCCAGAGCAGCTGTGTCTGCTGGAGCATGCCCTGGCCACAGCTGGGACCTGGGGCCAGCTGCCAGGCCAGCCTTGAAAGAACATTTATCACAAATACCGGGAGAAAATCACGCCACAGAAACGCTCCCCAGCCAGCAGCAGGCAGGAGGGAGGCTCCTCCTGGGCTCAGGGGACACAGAGCTGCTGCTCCAGGGCACTGGGGACACGTGGGGACCTCGGGGGGTGCCTGAGCACAGCCCCTCAACAGGGCCTGTCCCAAGCTCCCCTCCCCACTGGGCACAGGAGACATTCCCTGGAAAACCAGTCACCTGCCCCCGGATTTTTCCTTTGTTTTCCCAATGAGTTACATAGAAGGGGCAGCTATCAGACACACCACCTTAACAGAGCAGAAAGGTCATCATACTTGTGATGCTGGGAGAATAGATTATGCATCTGATTCCTGGCAGGCTTGATATTGAAAACAGCATCAATAATGCATCAGAGCTGCCTTGAGCAGGGATCAACGCTGCCTTCGCCTCCTGACTTGCAATTCAGACATCAAGACTAATTGGGAAATGTGTTTTCTAGGTAGCAGTTACTGAAATGAATGCTTCACTATGCTTAAAAATAAGTGAATTAATCCCTACCCAGGGTACCAATATTTGAAAGCAGAACATTGTTCTTACAAATATGGAACATTTCCAACATCCGCCCTGCGAGCACTGGTGTTCTCTGTTTTTGACAAATTGTTCTGATTTATTAGTTTAAACAAATCTTTTTGAGCCTCTGGTGCACCTTGAAATACTATAATAGAAAATGTAATGGCTGAGTTCCCACTTTTTCACATGAGTAATATCCATGTTCCATTTAGGATTGCACCAGCCTGTAGATCCCAATGCAGGAAAATGAGTTTTCCTCTGAAAAGGAATTTCACGCTAAGCCATGCAATTGTGTCCCATGCTGGAGCTGTGCTCTGGGCTTTATCCACACAAACATTTGTCATACATCCATATAAACAGCACATCACTCACTCAGGTGCAGGGTGAGAAGGAAACCTGGTGGGAATTGCGTGGAAAAAGGAGTATTAAAAAATACAAGAAGTGTGTGTGACCCACCCCAGAGCTCCACAGAGGCACACCTGCCTGGTCCAAAGCTGCAGGCTCCCCACCCTGCAGAGCTAACACACCCTGGCACCCACAGCTGCCTGCTGCAGGGCAATCTCCATTTCCAGAAGGGAAATAACAAACCCCCTCAGTGCTTCCCAGTGTGAAGTAAGCTCTGAAACCTATCCTTCATGAGATAATATCTGCTTTAAATCCAGAATAATCCCACCCCTCCTCCCCCAGCCCTGACATCGCTGCAGAGGAAGTCTAGCCAAAGTTTTGCTGAGGATTAGATCGATTCCAGCAGCAGCTGTAAGGGACACATGTCAAATCCCAACTGACCTGAATTTTTCCTCAGAGATTAATCCTTCCACCACTGTGGGCTTTAACTCACTGATATGTGGACCGTGTCCTTTGTGAGATCAACCCTGGCAGCTCCCAGGCTGCTGTGGGCAGACTCCCCTTGTGTGTGAGGTTACCTGCTTGTGCACACCCAGGATGGAAATCCACCCTCTGGCTCTTCAGCCTGTCTCACACGGGCTTTTTGGGTTTGGTTTTAAGTGAAACCATAGCTGGATGTCAATTATGAAGCTAATTATGGTTATAGGGAGCACCGGAGCTGTGCCAGGCGGGTTTAGGTTGGAGATCAGGGACAGGCTCATCCCCAGAGGTGCTGGCACTGCCCAGGCTCCCCAGGGAACGGGCACAGCCCCGAGGCTGCCAGGGCTCCAGGAGGTTTGCACAGTGCTCCAGGGCTGCCCAGGGGGGATTTTGGGGTGTCTGTGCAGGGCCAGGGCTGGGCTGGCTGATGCTGTGGGTCCCAGCCCAGGACAGGCTCTGAGTGCAATGTTGGCAGCCACGGCTGTGCCGAACCCCAGCAGCAGCTTTAAAGCAGGGCACCTGTTTAATTGTGCAACTCTTAGGGCTAATTTGCAGAAAGAGCAATAATTAATGAAAATCAGGTGACTAGGTAGGAAAGTAATTTCTCCTTTTTCTCAGATGACCAATATTTAAGGTACAAAAATCCACTGGAGCTTCTGCAATAAACTCCAATAGCACAGCCATCCAAATTATCTGTTCAACTGCAGCAACTCAGCGTAATTTGGGGAGGCCTGTTAGTGAGGAATATATTTCAGACCCAATTCCACGAGTTTAATTGCATGTCACTGCATTCTCCTGCTCACAAACAAGCTGTTCCAGCAATGCCACCCCTTCTCCCAAGGAATTCATGCCTGTGTAATTAACTAAATCAACTGTAACACAGATGGCATCGCACCATCCAACAGCACTTGATGGAAACATTTTAAGCATGTTATTAACATCCCTAAATAACTATTTAATGCTACCTCTCCAACCCTCTTCGGCACCAACACACAACACAGCTGGATTTGAGGATGGAAAAGGCAGTATTTAATTGCTACACTCTTATAAAAGATTTTCAGTTCTTGGATTTATTCAATTTATAAATGAGCTTGAAAAATAACAGACTCAACAGTGGCAACAAAACCGCTGTGCTTTGGATTTCAGAATTAAGGTTAATTTCCAGACTGATTCATCATCATTAAATTCATCTGTGAGGAACTGGGCAGCAGGGAAAAACACTGATGGGAGTAGGAATCTTTCTTTAGGCTGACCCAGACTATCC